ATCCATGACTAAAGCAAAAAGATATGGGCTTAAGGCTGATCCTTGATGTAACCCAACCGAAATAGGGAAATACTTGGTCAATCCACCTTGTGTTTGAACACATGTAATAGCTCCTGCATACATATCTTTAATGATTTGAATATAAGCATTATTGACTCCTTTCTTTTCAAGAACTCTCCATAGCACTTCTCTTGGAACTTTATCATATGCTTTTTCTAAATCAATAAATATCATATGTAGATCCTCCTTATTTTCTCTATATTTCTCCATCAAACCTCTTAATAAATGTATGGCTTCCATAGTCGACCTACCCGGCATGAATCCAAATTGATTTTGAGAAACATTAGTATCACGCCGCAACCTATGCTCCATAACTCGCTCCCATAGTTTTAAAGTATGACACATTAACTTAATACCTCTATAATTCGCACAATCTTGTGCATCACCTTTATTCTTAAAAATAGGAATTAACATACTCATTCTCCACTCATCTGGCATCTTTTTAGTCTTCAAAATAGTATTAAAAAGTTTAGTAAGCCATGAAATTCCTTCATCTCCTAAGCATTTCCACACCTCTATTGGGATATCATCAGGTCCAACAGCTTTTCCACCCTTCATTTTCTTTAAAGCCTCTGTAACTTCAGTTTTACTAATACGCCGATAAAAATAGAAATCTTTATTTTCATTTAGGGTGCTAAGGTCACTATAGTCAATCTTATTTTTATAATTTTCATTAAAAAGTTTAGCAAAATATCTCATCCATCTTTGTTGAATATCATCTTCTAAGAAAAGTATTTTTTGATCTTCATCTTTAATACACTTCACTTGAACTAAATCCTTACTACTCCTATCTCTTTGTTTGGCTAACTTATACATATATTTTTCTCCCTCTTTAGTATCTAATCTATTATATAAATCACTAAAAGCTAATGTCTTTGCATCGCATATGGCTTTCTTAGCATCCTTACGAGCAACTTTATATATTTCCCAATTATCGGAATTTTTAAAATTAAACCAATTTTTATAACAAAATTTCTTATTTTTAATCTTTTCTTGCACATTTGGATTCCACCACCAACTATTTTTACTTTTAGGAGCTTTTTACTTTGATACTCTGAGGATTTCTTTTGTAATATTCTTCATATCACTAGCCACTTTTTCCCACATAACATTAGCATCCTCATGCACAGACAAAATCTTAAGATCTAAAATCTTATTTCCAAAAATATTTTTGTTAATATTCTTTAAATGCCCCCATTTAATCCTAGAAAATTGTTTTACTTTATTTTTTATTTTATGCCCCTTTATCTTAAAGTCCAAAACTAATAATCGATGTTGAGTATATAAATTTTCACTCGGAATAACTTTATAATCTTTGCAATCTAAACGGTTTAATTTTCTAATAAGAAAATAGTCAATCTGGGTTGTACTATATCCATTTTTATAAGTGATGAGATGCTCATTCCTTTTCTTAAATAAAGTATTAACAATTGAAAAATCATAAGCTAAACAAAAATCCAATATGATCTTGCCACCTTTATTCGTCGTTCCAAATCCATGGCCACCATGAATGATTTTAAAATCATCTACCTCTCTACCAACATGTCCATTTAAATCTCCTCCAATAAAAACTATTTCTTCAAGATATATCTTTTGTATTAATTCTTTTAAGTCATTCCAAAAATTTAATTTAGAACTCATATCCAAACCTACTTGAGGAGCATAAGCACTTATAATATTAACAATGCTATAATCAACAACAATCTTTAAAATTATAATTCTATCTCCAATTCTATTAATTTTTATAACATTATCCTTTAAACTCTTATCTATAATAACACCAACACCACTTCTAGTACGACTCCTACCTGAATACCAAAGTTTAAATCCTAAACTATCAATTTCCTTAGCCTTCTCTCCAACCCATTTAGTTTCCTGAATGCACAAAATATTTAACTTCCTATGAATCATAATATCTATTAATTTCATTAATTTTCCTGTAAGGGAACCAATATTCCAAGTTCCTATCCTAATTTTAGTTTCGTGGACTAGCTTCTTTGCCCACATCCGTCTTTGATGTGGGAACCCTTGCCTATTTAATACTGCATCCGGGCGCCGGTGCAGCGGCCCTTGCATACTTGTTACTGTATTCAGGCCATACAGCGCGTCGTTTCCAGGGGACGCCCTAGCTTAACACAATTTCTTAAAGGATTCATGTCATTATTGTTCGATAAGTTTTATGCTGGTTGTTGACTACCTAACGCAACCTTCCACTTTTCTCATCCAGGGGATGCCCAAAACTCCCTACGAACACTCCAAATTCAGCAAACACAAGACAACCCTAACCCCGAAAATTTTTCCTATTTAAAGCATACAATAATCATCTAAATCCCAAAACAACCCCTCTTTTGATGTTGATGTTGAATCCCCCCTTAATTCCTCTAGTGATTAGTTGTTGGGCCCGGTATTGGAAAGGGAACAGTGCCTCTTGTACACAAGTGCCGGTCCATGATTGACCGAATGGACCGATCCAGGGACTGGTCTAACAACCTCTTTCTAAGATTTAGGAGTAAACTTCTTCAAGCATGCAAATAACATAAAATTAAATTCTATATGATGAGACTAAAAAATTAGCAATGTGAACAGTATTTTCAAACATAACTTTTTATCAGTAACCATTAAATTCATAAACATACAAATCTTATTAAGACAAGGTTTTGTGAAATCTATTTCAACAAGAATATGAGCAACAAAAGATTTAATGAGATTGTTAACATAGAATCAATTAAAAGGGAAAATATGGGGAAGCGAGAACCAAATCAGAGTGATAAGGGGCTCCCTAAAAACATCACAAAAGGGGAACGATTTCAGATTCTTAAAGGAGATAATCATAAACACAGCACATTTGATGTAGACAAGAAAGATAGGGGACCCTATATTTCTTGAACACAATAGACACACAAGAAGAAATCTGACACAATGAGTAGAACTTAAAACAAATTTTATTAAATAAACGCTAACGACCCAAAACTTGACAAACACAACAAAAGATGCTAGGAGATTTTAAAGAAATAAAAAAAAACGCTATCCTCAGACAACCGTTAGAGCGGGTTCCTCACATGCATCGAATTTGTAGGTTAAATAAGTAAAAGTGCATAGAACTAGCAAACCGATGGTCCACCACTGCAAGACTATCCCAAATGCTTCCAGATCAACCAAGATACGACACCCTAAAGTTGCTTCACTGTTGAGAAAAAGGATACATATGGAGTGGCACTTGCGGAGAGACGAAGAGATTAGAAGCCCGAGAAGAAAGGGTGGAAAGAGCCCGCAGGATTTCCGGAGGGGATGAGAAAAGAAGGTTGGAAAGAGCCCGCAGGATTTCCGAATAAACCCGCAGGTTAATAGCAAATATGATCACAAATATCAACTCCCCTTCTTCACAACATTTTCTCATATTTATAGGCAAGAGAGAGGAATGCCAAGAGCCACATGTTTTTAATTTCCATTAGAATCAAAGCCTAAAAGGCATAGAAAACTTCCCCCAAAGTTCACGGATAAACACCCAAGCCAGAAACCAAGGAGGCAATCAGCAGGCCGAGAATTCAAAGCAGCAAAGCCACAGTTTTCGAAAAACAGCCAGCATTAATTCTGAAGGAATAGTTACAGGAATCATAGGTAACTCACGGCACCAAGGAGCCAGCAAGCAGGCCGAATTCAAAGTAGCAAAGTCACGGGAAAATACATCCCTGTTTGGAAATCTGAGACCGGATGGACTCCCAAAGCATTCAGTTATAAATTCAAATGCTTTGAATTCAGCCTCCATTTTAAAAACAAGCCACGGTTCTCCAAAACAAAGCATTGAATTCAGCCAAATTAAGAACAGGCCACGGATTCCCAAGAGACAAGAAGAAAAGGGGAAGGGGAAGGGACAAGGTCACTCCAAAAGTAAACTTCATAATGAGGTAACTTTTGAGAATTAAAGAGCTACTAAACTTCAGCTCAAGCAACTTAGAGAACAAGCTCAAAACCGAATGCTACAAAACAGCCAACCCGTGAACCACCAGCAGCTAGGGACCAATCGAGCCAACAAACCAAAGGTCTACCAAGCCATATGCACTACCTACCATGATCATTGGATGCTTTCCCATCATTGGATAGCTAAAAAAGAAAAGAAAAGAAAATAGAAAACAAAATATACTATTGTTCAAATAAAATAAAAAGTACATAAATTCTTGATAGCATCAACATTATATGGGGAAAAATGCAAAAATAGATATAGTCATTATTAAGTTAGATAATGATATGCTAAATCCAAAAGACTAATGAAAAAACTTTACTTAACCAATAAATTATAGAATTTTTTCTTACTCAAGTCAAAGGAAATATGCATAAAAGAAGGAAAGCCACAAAAGGGTAAAGACTCTTTGATCTTAGTACAATGTTTACCATTATCACTGCTCGCCAAAACATCAAGGAATGACGTAGCAATTTGGTAGTATTAGGTTTCTTACCAAAAAGAGGAAGAGTGAAGGTCAAGGTTATCAAACACTGTCGTCAAGTCACAAGAAAAAGTAAAACCACTGGCAATGTCAGCGCCCACCTGACAGCATAATAAACCTTCAAGCAAGAAGAGATTAGGGGCACTATGATAGGCAGAGCAAACCAAGAAGGGGTCAAAATCACAGACAGGGAATAATCATCGCATAGGATACAAATCCCAATAGATTTCATAGCAGGGAGAGCCTTATTAAGGCACTCAATACTATTACTATTTATGTAGCTTCATAAGTACACAATCAATAACAATGAATAATAATTTCACTATTAGCATAAAACAACAACAAAAGTTTAAGGGATTTCATTCACGAGAGACTACTTGATGATGTTAAATCGTAAATGTTATACAATAGCATTCACAATAGTTTAATTATGATGAATGAACCATATAAGATGTCATAAACATCATATAAAATCATGTTCTATTAAATAGTCCAAACCTCATAAGTTACTGTTCCATCAGATGTAGTTGGTTGCTGAAGTGTTACATTACATATGGCACCATTTGCCGAAAGAATGCAAATAGTTCGAGGCCCCTGCTGCGAGAATGCCATAAGTTTTGAAGCCACGTCCTAAAAAATAACATAATACTATCAGACAGACACCCTATATTAAAGGACTTCATGTTAAAAGAAAATTGAGATTAGATTGCACGTTTGTGTTCATCATAAATCAATATCTTGAATTTGCTGATTTAAAACAATATATTGCTCACAATTATAAATTTGACCCAACACATTCTAATAGTATCTAAAGAAACTGAAAACAAAATCTTTTTTATGCATCAAATATCAAGAATCATTCCATAAACCAATGTATCAACTCCGTCTCTTTAGGCTCAAAATTGTTCTTGGATTATAAAAACTTTTAAGTGCTTTATGAACTCACAATGGCACAGTGTAAAGGCAAGCAATGGCATTAGTAATTGTGATAAAAATGTTTGAGAGTTGATTATTGAAAAGGGAAGAATCAGTGAAGAGGTAAAACAGGGAGGCAAACAACAAAAAAAGATAGATGAATAAATGTCATAGAGAAGAGGGAAGCCTCAGAACTAGGAGAAGAAGAGAGAAAACAAATGGAAAATTTATCCCAAGAAGCATGTACGAGGACGCAAAAATATTGGTAGAAGGCTACCATCATAGATCCTCCAGAACACTCAACATCTCTAAAAAGAACCTCTAGAAGGAGGTACTGATATGACCCAATCTGGATAAATTTGCTGCTTGACAGAAGTTGACCTTTTTCATTTAGGCTAGTTTTTTGGAGCAGCATAGGAAATTTGGGTTTTGTTATACCTCATAGGATTGGATTGGTTGGATAACTTGCATTGGATCGATTGAGTTAAGCTAAAGCCAAACCCAATTGGATTGGATTGGGTTCATGTTGTCAAAATAGGTTTGGAGTTCATGTTTTTGCATAGAAAAAAAAAAGAATCATGAAGATGAGAAGATCCTATGTAAGAATGGCCTTAGTATGAACGCATCACATGAGGGGAAGAGCAATCACTTCATGGAAAGATGGAATTCAAGTGAAGTCTATCACAATTAGGTTGTATGAATGTTAAGTAGAGGTGATTGAGGATGGTTATGAAATGGTAAGAGAAAATTATAGGGGGAAAGCAGACAGAGGGTAAGGGTAAGGGAAAGTTGAATTTCAAATACCTAGTTGATAAAGAGAGGCACCTGAAGTGATGATTGTGAGGGAACTTGTATCATCTTAATTGCTGAAATGAGAAGAATATGGTTGTATATCAGAAGATATAAATGGTAACGAAATGGAAGAGATTAAGAAGATATTTATGCATTTCTCAAAGGGAGGAGGTAAAGTTAGTGCAAGAACGAAGAGTCTCAAAGTTAAACCAAAAAAGGAAGGAATTGACATACAAATAATAAGATAATGACAAGCATGTCTACATGTGACATGACCATCTTAACCAGACAAATAACGCAGGCATTTATATGATGCAAAATAGTAATCACATAATCATGTCGCTAGGACTATAACTAAGGTAAAAGGCATGAAATAACAAGTAAAAAAAGGCAAAATTGAGGAATACAATTCTAAGAATTAAAGAAAACATCTTACACATCATCAAATAGCCTTCCAATAGCTCTGTAACTAGGGAAATCCATACAATTCATGAAGTAATGCAAATTGTAGATTCTTTTAAAAGATACTGACAAAAAAATATACAACAATAACATCAAGCCTTTATCCCACTACGTGGGATCGGCTACATGAATCCTTTTTCTCCATTGTGTCCATTAAAAGTCAATTTCTCGTTTAAATCTAATAAGGAAAGGTCATTCCTAATATTTTCTAACCAAGTCTTTTTAGGTCTACCCCAACCTTTCTTAACATAAGTCAAATCTAATACCTCTACTCTCCTAACCGGGTCATCGGAAGGCCGCCGTTTTATGTGACCAAACCATCTAAGGCAACTCTCTCTAATCTTATCTTCTACTGGAGCTACTCCAACCTTTTCACGTATATGCTCATTTCGTATCTTATCTCTAAGGGTAAAGCCACTCATCCACCTGAGCATCCTCATCTTTGCCACACTTAACTTAGTATTATGCTTCTCTTTTAATGGCAAACATTCGGCACCATAAAGCATTGCAGGCCTCACTACCATCTTATAGAATTTTCCCTTAAGTTTGAGGGGTACATTTCTATCACATAACAAGCCCGATGCATTCCTCCACTTCAACCATCCAAGTATCCAACTTGAATTCTACTGATAATATCCCCATCTATTTCACCATCACTCTGAATAATAGATCCAAGATATCAAAAACGTGTACTTTTATGAATGACTTGATCGCCCAAAGTCACAATCCCCTCACTAGGTCTATTACTACTAAAATTACACTCCATATATTCTGTTTTAGATCTACCCAAGAGAAAACCTTTAGACTCTAAAGGTTGACCTCCATAATTCAAGTTTACCTTCAACTCCCTCTCTAGTCTTATCAACAAGAAGAATATCATCAGCAAAAAGCATACACCAAGATACATCCTCTTGCAAATGTCTAGTGAGAACATCCATGACTAAAGCAAAAAGATATGGGCTTAAGGCTGATCCTTGATGTAACCCAACTGTCTACTGACAAAAAAATATGTAAAATAAAAAAGATATGATGCACCAAAAGCCTGTAAATTTCATTGAAATTGATATTTAGGTAACCAATTTCACGTTTTTTAATCAAAATAGATCTATAAAAAGGTCATTGACGTTGAAAAAGCTCATATAAGTAAAAAATTGCTCACTATCACATGAGAAAAAGATATAGGACATTTAAAACTCCCATCTACCAAACTAAGTTTGCTTCGCATATGAAACCCATTGGTAACAGATATATTTGACAGACAAAGCATAAGTGACCAGCATAACATTATCTTAAGTTGAAAAACTAAAGAAGTTGGTCAACTATGTTTTTTATTTTTATTTAAAGCATAACTGTCCAATACAATATTATGTTAAGTTGAAAAACTAAAGAAGCACACAAAAATCTGAACTGCACGGCAGATGTATAAAGTGCATAGATGTGGAGTCCTTAAAAACATCCAAATTTCAGTTCCAAACACCCTATGCATCTTATCCAATATTTTTTCCCTACCTTATGAAATTATTACCCTGCCATATTATGCGATCAAGTGTAAGTCTATCATGTTGTATCTTATGATAGGTATTCATACAGTTATACATGCCAATATGCTGATACACCTAACAATCATATTAAATTGTCTGCATATGCATATTTCTATATATAGGCAAGGGTCACAACTTGAAAGGAAAAATGAAATGATTACAAAAGCTTAAGAATGTGCATGTTAGTTAGTAGGGGCAATGTGACCCTAGTGAGCAGTGCGACCTCAGTATGATATGAAGCCTACGGACTATGATATAAACCTACGGGCAATAATAGAGATAGTGTGACCTCATGAGCCTACGGGTAATAGAGGCAGTGCGACCTCAGGAGACTATGGAAAATAGAAGTAATGTGATCGCAGGTGCCTATGGGCAATAGAGGCAGTGCGACCTCAGAACCCTACGGACGATAGAGACAGTGCGACCTCAAGAGCTTATAGGCTATGTTAAGCCTACGGGAAATAAAGGCAGTGTGACATCAAGAGTCTACAGGCTATGATATGAAGCCTATGGGCGATAGAGGCAGTGTGACCTCCGGAGCCTACAAACTATGATATGAAGCCTACGGGCAATAGAGGTAGTGCGACCTCAGATGCCTACGAGCTATAAACTTAGATCTCACCATGTGAACATAATATTTTCTAAAGTTGAAAAATGGATGTTAATCGATGATATCAAAAATAAAGGATGATTACATATTGTGATGTATGAATTACTAATTGAATACATTTGGCAATATTGATGATGTTGGCGGTATGTGATAGGTGGTGATGATATTGACATTATGAGACATACTCGAAAATTGGGTTCATATGAGCATAATTTTTACATGCGACCTTAGTTTTACTTATTAAATAATTCAATACTATGTATATTTCCTTTTTAATGATTACATGCAGTTCTAACTTCAACTTGTTAATATAAGGGTAAGTATTATATTTCATATACTTGAATATGGTATTAGAATTGCATATCTTTTTTAGCCTAATTGCTCACCAAATTTTTTTATTCTGGCTGTTGTTACAAGAAAGATGAGGGATATTGTGGAAGTTGATTAGACTTGGATCAAATTTTAAAAACTATGTTTGATTTATTGATAGTATGAGGTGAGTATTGAGAAGAGATATATGAACTGTTGTTATGAAAACATTTTTAGGTGGTTAGTTACTCTGTAATTATATATGTATGAAGTGCATGAAAAAAATTGAATGTTTCTATTTTAAGTGACATGACTGTTTAGTAACTATATGATTTTCTCTATTGCACCCTTTGTTCTTCAGAAGGGGCGGTGTGAGATGTGACAAAGGGAATAATGAAAAACCTAATCAAAATCTCATGGATTCATCCTCATAGGTTGTCAAAGAACCTAGTCAACTTAGTAAGAGAAGTTAGTTGACCCAACTTGACCCAAGAATCTTTGTCAACAACGATGAGTTGCATCATTCAAGGAGACCTAACAGGAGACTTGGGTAGGATGTTTATTTAAGAGGACGAATTTAAATTAGTCATAGGTAACAGAAAATCTTATGCCTTATCAAGTGCATTTCATGGTTCACTACTCGAAGTTTTTAAGCCATTAGAGAACTTGTAGGCTTTGATCATAATAGTAATTTAATGGTGTTATTTTGTAGCCAAACAACTACTTCAAAGAGCTCCGATCATAACCGTTTGTATATAGTTTCATTTGAAAGGAAACATGTCAATTATAGTATATGTCATATACATGCTAGTAAGAGATCGTTTGAGAGTAAACATAGTGATACACTTGATAAGACATCAACCCTTTGTGAGTTAAGGTTATTCTAAAATTAATCACCATCAACAAACTACTATAGAGGGTGGATGATTACTGTTTTAAATTTAATATAGTATATCTCACTTGAACGTAATAGATTTTACAATGATTTTGGATTTTTTAAA